GTGACTGGGTGTTCAGTATGGTCTCCTGGGAGCACAAAGCCCACTCTGCCTTTTCCAAAAAATTATGGGTCATAGGGTATCTGTGTGTTTAATCTCCCCTGCTAATGCCAAGTTCTTTAATCTAAAGCACTCCTGTCGTCTCAATTCCACCCAATCTAGTCTGATGTGGCTTTATTCAACCAATTACTTTTGATTTCATGACTTTCAAACCTCCGGACACCTGGATGGCGTATCCGGTTCAGCATCTGGCTCTTGACTTCAGCTCAGGTCATGATCTCAGGGTTGTAAGATCAAGCCCCATGTCAGCCTCTGAGGTTAGGCACAGAGCTTGCTTAAGATACTCTCTCTCTCTTTCTCCCTCTGCCACTCCCCCCAACCTGTGCTCTAAAAAAAAAAAAATCATGAAGATATTCAGTCCTTTACCATCAGTTTCACCATCTCTGTCTACAGAAAGGATCCCATTTGCCTGTCCCACTAAAATATTTCTACTCTCAACTATAAAAACAGCTTTGAACTCGATCGCTATCTTCCTTTCCCTGTCCACTCTCACTCTTTAACACCTTGCCATCTGGCTTCCAATAAAGCTGTTTGAGAAACAGTTATCAATTATCAGTGACTCCAGATAACAATGGAGTTCTTACCAGATCCAATGGCATTTCATCCAGAACTCATTTTCCTTTAATTTTTCACCCTCTAGGAAGCCAGGCCATATTGTAGTCTCAGGGTTCCAGAGCGCAACAGAGAAAGTAACAAAGAGCACATGCATCACCTCACCCAATCTCCAATATGCCTTATGCTCTGCAACAATCACCTCTCTCCGTGTTACTGCTTCTACCTTCATGCCCCGCTGCTAAACTATAATCCTACCTAACCCTTGGTGCCTGGTTCTTATGTCATTCCTTGTGGGACCGGATCATTAACTGTGTCAGGCTGGGGGGCTGTCCCCTCAACCCCTGAATTACAGCATTTACGTGACTCTCATCAGATACTGCTTTAAGCCACAGTTACTTGGATATACACTCACCATTTAACTGAGCCAGTATATACCCTGGAAGTCGGGGAGAGTAGGTACCTCTCTATTTTAGAGAGAGGTAGAAGCTTATAATAAAGTCAGTCCATCTCTTCACATCTTTCTGAATCCAAACTTCTGAACAGTCACCTCACACACATATGCTGGCTTGGCCACGAGACTGGTTTTGGCCAATGGGACATCAGCTTCACCAGCACTACCACACTGGAAATTGTTTTTTTCTGTTGCTCCCTGGAACTCTGAGATGCGTTATGAGCGAGCATACTGGAGGATGAAAAACTATAGGACACAGAAACAGTTTTACTACAGGTGAGCATCCCACCCGCCAAACCAACCACAGGCCAGCCCAACCACCACTCTGGTTCACCAAGCTGATAGAGCACAGGAACCACTCAGCCGACCACAGACTCAGGAAAAGAAACATTTGCTCCCTGAAGCCATTAAAGTTTCTGAGGGTATGTCAAAGCTGCTAGGACTCGTACAGGAATTTAGTGAAGTGTCAGGATATAAAATCAATGCACAGAAATCAGTTGCGTTTCTATACACAACAGCAGACAGAAGAAAGAGAAATTAAGGAGTCAATCCCACTTACAACTGCACCCAAAACCATAAGATACTTAGGAATCAATCTAACCAAAGAGGTGAAGAATCTAAACTCAGAAAACTACAGACTACTCATGAAAGAAATTGTGGAAGACACAAAAAAATGGAAAAACGTTCCATGCTCATGGAATGGAAGAAAAAATACTGTGAAAATGTCTATGTTAACTAGAGCAATCTACAGATTTAATGCAATCCCTATAAAAACGCCATCAATTTTTTTTCAAAGAAATGGAACAAATAATCCTAAAATTTGTATGGAACTAGAAAAGACCCCAAATAGCCAGAAGAATGTTGAAAAAGAAAATCAAGGCTGGTGGCATCACAATTCTGGACTACGAGTTCTATTACAAAGCTGTAATCATCAAGACAGTATGGTACTGGCAAAAAAACAAACAAAGATCAATGGAACCAAATAGAGAGCACAGAAATGGACCCTCAACTCTATGGTCAACTAATCTTCGACAAAGCAGGAAAGAATGTACAATGGGAAAAAGTCTCTTCAACAAACGATGTTGGGAAAATTGGACAGCCACATGCAGAAGAATGAAACTGGACCATTTCCTTACACCACACACAAAAACAGACTCCAAATAGATGAAGGACCTCAATGTGAGACAGGAATCCATCAAAATCCTTGAGGAGAACACAGGCAGCAACCCCTTCGACCACAGCCGCAGCAACTTCTTCCTAGAAACATCACCAAAGGCAAGGGAAGGACAAAATTGAACTACTGGGACTTCATCAAGATCAAAAGTTTTTGCACAGCAAAGGAAATAGTCAACAAAACCGAAAGACAACCGACAGAATGGGAGAAGATATTTGCAAATGATGTATCAGATAAAAGGCCAGTGTCCAAAATCTATAAAGAACTTATCAAACTCAACACCCAAAGAACAAATAATCCAATCAGGAAATGGGCAGAAGACATGAGCAGACATTTCTGCAAAGAAGACATACAAATGGCCAAAAGAAACATGACAAAGTGCTCAATATCACTTGGCATCAAGGAAATACAAATCAAAACCACAGTGAGATACCACCTCACACCAGTCAGAGTGGCTAAAATTAACAGGAAATGACAGATGCTGGTGAGGATGCAGAGAAAGGGGAGCCCTCCTACACTCTTGGTGGGAATGCAAGCTGGTGCAATCACTTTGGAAAACAGTATAGAGGTTCCCCACAAAGTTGAAAGTAGAGCTACCCTATGACCTAGCAATCGCACTACTGGGTATTTACCCCAATGATACAATGTAGTGATCCAAAGGGGCACGTGCACCCGAATGTTTACAGCAACAATGTCCACAATAGCCAAACTATGGAAAGAACCCAGATGTCCATTAACAGATGAATGGATAAAGATAAATGAGTTCTGGATGGTATCATGCTTAGCGAAGTAAGTCAATCAGAGAAAGACAATTATCATATGATCTCCCTCATAAGAGGGAGAGGAGATGCAACATGGGGGGTTAATGGGGTAGGAGAAGAGTAAATGAAACAAGTTGGGATTGGGAGGGAGACAAACCATAAGTGACTCTTAATCTCACAAAACAAACTGAGGGTTGATGGGGGGAGGGGGGTTAGGAGAGGGGGGTTGGGGTTATGGACATTGGGGAGGGTATGTGCTATGGTAAGTGCTGTGAAATGTGTAAACCTGGCGATTCACAGACCTGTACCCCTGGGGATAAAAATATATGTTTAAAAAAAAATAAAATTTATTAAAAAAATTTAAAAAAAAAAAAGATAAATGAGTTCTGGATGATTCCACACACACTGGAATATTATGCATCCATCAAAAGAAAACACAAAATCTTGCCATTTGCAATGACATGGATGGAACTAGAGGGTATTATGCTGAGTGAAATAAGTCAATTAGAGAAAGACATTAACATAAGATCTCACTGATATGAGGAACTTGAGAAACAAATCAGAGGATCATAGGGGAAGGGAGGGAAAAATGAAATAAGATAAAACCAGAGAGGAAGACAAACCATAATAGACTCTTAATCTCAGGAAACAAACTGAGGGTTGCTAGAGGGGAGGGGCATGGGACGGATGGAGTAACTGGGGGATGGACACTGGTGAGGGTATGTGCTATGATTAGTGCTGTGAATTGTGTAAGACAGATGAATCACCGACTTGTACCCCTGAAACAAATAATACATCCTGCATGAATTAAAAATAAATAAAATGCAAACAGTTTCAAAAAATAAAAAACAAAGTTTCTGAGGGTGTAAGGAGAGGTGTGTTAATCGATATAGAGTATCTGGCACACTGTACTGTTCTGAAATGAGTAAAGAATTAATGCAAGTTTAACCTCTCCCTGACCATCCGATTATAGTTTTTCTAGCCTAAAAACTAGAACATTCTAGATTTCTGCATGGAGTTTGTTTTGTAGAATGCAATAAAAAAGGGCAGCATACTGTCAAAGATAAAGTATAGGCTTCATACGTGCACAGATGTGAATGTGAAACTGGGAGGCCCCATTCTCTACCTGTAGGTTTGGAGATAATACCTGTCAATTTTCTGACGCTCCGTTTCCTTTCTGTAAAGTAGGAAAAAAATCCCCACCAATCTTACAGGAGTAAAGATAGTATATATTAAATACCAAATATTACATCTGGCCAATTTCTTCGATAACCAAGAGATATCATATACATAAATACTAATCTAAAAATAAGGAGGTTGAAGCGCTTCTTTCTCAAACTGTGTTTCTATGCTATGACCCAGCACTCGTACAGGTGGGGACATGGTCACGGCAAGGGTGGGGAAGGTCTGAAGTGGGAGGCAGCTGACGAGAATTCTGATGCCTTTAACAGCTTCTAGATACCTTGGCTTTGGTTTATAACATCCCTCGGCCACTCTGGGAATGTTTCCTGGTGAAACAGACCAGCATGGCAATCACAGGCTTCATTATATTTGGGGATGTTCAGTCAACGGTTACACAGAGAGGCGCCATGTGATTAACCAATCATCAGGAAACAAAACCAAAAATGTTGGAAGAAGTTGTTTAGCTTTGGCTAATTAACAGCTAACCAGATAACTGAGAAAAGTGCAGACATGGTTTACTGAGTCAAATGACTTCGCCACAAACGCTTTTCCTCTTCTACCCAAAAACAGATGAATGATTTACAAAAACAGAGCATCTGGGAAGCTTCTGGAACAACAACATGAAAGCACACTATGAATTCCTTTATGTTCAAGCCATGGAGCCTGTTTAACATAAAGGTTCATGCTACACACCCCACCCCACCCCCACCGAACACCAGAGCATGCTAGTGCAAATACGCTCACTTAAGGTAAAACAACATCCTGGTTTTGGAGAAAGCAACAGAAAGAAAGAAGTCCTCTTCCATGACCAGTTGCTCACCTATATACGTTCCACTGTGGTTACCAGCATATTCAGCATCTTCTGGATGGAGTATAAAAGCATACAGAACAAAAGCCAAGAAATAAAGCAGAACAGTTAGAAGCCCAGCCACAGATGCAAAAAATAAATTACTTAAAACAATTATGTAAAGCACAGCATCGAACAGCCCTCACAACGCCACTCTTAAACATAAAACGTTTTGTTTTACATTTAAGCTTCAAGTGATGTTTTAAGACATCATGCAATTTTTGTGTTTCAGCCTCCTTCAGGGGTTCCTTGATGCAGTTCCAAGAAAATTGTAAAAGATCTGCCTGCACTGTTTATGCTTTCCATAGTTAAGAAAATTACAACACTTGATCCCCCAAAGTCAATTTATTTTTGTAAATCAGGCTCTTTGATAATATGTAAAATATAGCACTGACTTTGGATTAGACAAAGACATTGAGATTAAGATACATGCTTGCTTTGGAGGGGAAGAAATTCTGTGTTGGGAAGGAATAAAGGCATACTATTTCTCTTTTTGTGGTTTATGAAAAAAATGAACGGATGAAAACATTTTAAAATAAACGATGTGTTATTAATTATTCCTTAGAGTTAAGTGAAAACTGGGTTATGCATATCTTAAAAATTTAATTGAAGTATTGGGTACTTATTACTATACATCCCTTATCTTCACATAAATATGCTTCTGGAACTATCAGCACAGCATGTGCTGAAATCAAATAGTTGAGAAGATTCCCCTGACATCCTTATGTTAAAATAAGGATGCCGATAGATCTGAGTAACATTGAGACAGAAACAAAAACAATGTATTATCAGATTACTTTCCTTATTTCTGCTATATGAAGCAAAAACAGTACAGTTCTCAAACAGAGTCCAACCATGAGTTCTGGTACTGTAACATCAAGATGGAAGCTTGGATATATAATAATCTTCTATAAACTACTTGCTATATTCAATTTAACCCACACATAGCTGTACTAAATAAAATTAGTAGACTGGGGCAGGGAAGCTTTTATACATGTACCTTTAATTTCCTCTGAGAAGCACAAAGAAAATGAGAAAGGAAATGATTAAATGTGCAGAAAATACAATTAAAAGTAGGAAGAAGATGCATCTGAGGGAGAAAAAAAAAAAATCTACCTACCACACTCAACTGATTCCTCATCTTAGAAAAGCCAAAGGGGAAAAAGAAATGTATTTTAAATATTTCAAAATTATTAGTCAACAAACAGAATTCATGATAAACTACGTTTTAGACTGCACTATAGTCCTGGTCTGAAAAGAATACGTACACGAAAGCAGTAAAAGCGCAAAGTCTTCATTCAGCTTATTAAATGCCCAAATGGGAAAAATAATAAGGAAAAAAAATTTCCAAAGTAATACCTTCAATGGGGGATTATTTTCATAGGACATTTCTGTTTATAAACTAATCTGTTTAACACTTAGGATATATATTTAGAAACAACCCTTAAAATGCCCTTAAAACGTCTCAATATCCTGTAAATTTAAGAGTATTATCAATTTATTACACATATGAAAGGAGTCAGGAAGAGCCCCTTTACTTCATTCTGGCTACAGTATTAATAAGAGGTATTTTAAAGAATAATTCTAAAAATCACTAATTGTTACTAATAGGAAGGAAATTTAAGAGTTCCGTGTGACTGAGGACACTCACCTTCAGTTAAAGGTGGAAAAAGAACTGGCAATTTAATAGAAGCAAAGTCGAACCACAAGTCAAGGTAGAACATGTTTTGCTACGAGATTTTGGAGAAGGAATAGAGCTGATCGGGACAGTTTTCCGCTCACTTCTCTCTCCAAACTACAGGGTAGCAGTCAAAGAAAACACTTAGGACAGTGTGTGCACCACCACTCTATTTTTCTTTTTCAAATACCTATGGGTCCTCCAACTGGATTGGATCTATTTGAACATAATTCGCAAAAATGACAAGCAAATCATTATTATTTGGGCTCGTATTGAGAATCACTCAAGCTGTGAATTTATTTACACTCATTACCTTCATAGCTTTGAAATGCCACGTACATCTAGAACAAATTAGCAGAAAATGAACAATAAACTATGTGATACGGATTAGCCGAGCCAAGCAACCAGGCTTAGGAAAAATAATACGAGCAGAGTCTGCAATCGCAGACACCCCACCACGAAGCGGGTTATTAAACAGAAGGTATATTTTCTGAAGGAACAACAGGATTGACTGAGTGCTGCACTCTGATTAAAGAACCAGTGTCAAGTCCATCAGATTTTATCATCTGATTAAAAAGCCATGTCTCTCACACACACGTGCGCGTGCGCAAACACACTCGTGCATAAGAACAAAAATTAAAACACCAAGGTCAACCCACAATAAAAACAAACATCTCCAGGTCACAAATAGTACGGCATGTTTCCTATTCTAATAAAAGTTGGTGAATATGCTGTGTACATTCTCAGAAGAGTGTTTCTTCCGTGCTCTAAGTAGGAAGAGAAGCTCTTTTTTGTGCGATAACCCACATGCATATCTATCTCCAAGCCAGCCACAAGCTTCACGGACAGCCGCAAGGAAAAGCAAAGAACACTTTTCCTTACACTTAGCAAGTCTGAACAAAGAGGAAAACATAGAAAGGGTTGATTTCAGAGACATTTGGGACAACTGCACGATTCTGAACTATATTCTTAACGAAGGCACTGTTCTGTGTACACTAAATGCATAGACGCAATGAATTCTCACACCGCTCCACGAAGCCAGTACTGTTCCCTCCGTGTCACAGATGGCAATCAGAGGGACAGAGAAATGAAGCACTCTGAAACGAGGACCCACACGATCTGGCTTCAGAGTTTGCGTTTTTAAGTACCATGCTATACAATCACGCCAAAATCACTTTTTATTTACTCTAACTGTATGCTAGGAAATACAAGTTGGTGGGGAGGTCAAAAAAGTTAATTTCAAGCTTCCTGTCTACTCTCCATACCCTCCCAGCACACCAGCCTCTTGTCTCTTCCCCCAAAGCTCGACCCTCCCCGGCCGAAAAAGAGTTCACTCTCCACATCTTCAAGCACTGACGAGCAAGACGGGAAAACTACAAAACCACAGAAGAGAGGCCACGAAGGTCACAGAGAGTAATTGTGGCTGTCTTCAGAGAACGGAGTGGAGATGCTTCGGCAAGATGAATCGATGAGCCCCACGCAACAGGGCATGGGGAAATTCTCCATGCTGCTGGCCGCCAGCCTCTCTGAGCAGGGCAACGTCAGATATTCTCGGCAGTTGGAGACGTTGTGTCTACATAGGCGTGTGATCGCATTTACGGGGTCAAAGCTGTGCTTTCTTCTGCCTCCCTCTACCCACATCAATCTTCCCTAAAAGTCTGCAATAACCTGTGACCACAGAGTACACCCTTAATAATTAATCAGCCTTTTCTTACCTGGTTCTTATTATTTGGGCTCGTATTGAGAATCACTCAAGCTGTGAATTTATTTACACTCATTACCTTCATAGCTTTGAAAAGCCTTCATAGCACTCATTGCCTTCATAGCATTGGGTTCCCAAGACAAAGGCAAGAGACAGTGTGGCCTGGAACCCTTCATATGGAAAAGCGAAAAGCTGTACCTTCTGAGAGTGTTCTAGAAAGAATATCTTCAATTTACATAAGAAGAACACAGTCGACTGACATGAAAAGTGAGCAATAATAATTAGGCCATCACCTCAACCATCTCCCGACATAAACAGTCAGACATACAGTTTACAGCCTAGTTCATCTGCGCCTCTGTCCATACAAACTCTGAACTTTGGCATTTCCCAAAGAATATCAGTAAATACTGGGGTGGGGGGGTGGGGGCTACTTTCAGTATTTTTAAAAACCCCCTATGTTTCTGTTAACACAAAATCCCACCAATATTAAGAAATATTTGACAGAGTTTTAGGCATACAAATTTAATATACGAACATAAGCAACCTACTTGTTAATTTCTGAATTAACTTTATATATGAGCACACTAAATAATTACTGTTTAAGGGGCGCCTGGGTGGCTCAGTGGGTGAAAGCCTCGGCCTTCGGCTCAGGTCATGACCCCAGGGTCCTGGGATCGAGCCCCGCATCGGGCTCTCTGCTCAGCAGGGAGCCTGCTTCCTCCTCTCTTTCCACCTGCCTGTCTGCCTATTTGTGATCTTTGTCTGTCAAATAAAAAATAAATAAATCTTTAAAAAAAAAAAATTACTGGTTAAGATGCCAGGAGAAAGGAGCTTACTCAGTTTGAATAGTTGTAGCGACCTAGAACATTGTATATATATTATTCTCAAATGCTTGGCCTTCCAAAATATTGACACCATAAAGAGTGAATTCATTTGTTCATTCCATGTTTAAACTGTACTGCTGGTAGATTGTGATCTTCAACCCACGAAATGCTTGTCTTTGAATGGACTTGGTTATACACTGCTTGAATGGACACCTCTGGCTCCAGTTAAATATTTTCTCTTGTACCCACACGACAGCAGTGACAATTGGTTAAAACAGATTTTAAGATATAATATTTTGTATTTTTACCTTCAAATCTTTAAAAAAAAAATCATACCTTCAGGATTTTTTTTTAATTACAAAAATTCTGTAAGAACTGCTTTGTAAAAGAAAAATTTTAAATGGATATTATTCAATCAGCAGTATGAGATCTTTTAAGGTATTTATACTTCAATAACTAAAAAAAGAAACTAAGCACCATAAATAAAAATCATACTGGAATCTTCTCCTGTAACATACACTACTTGAATAAGAGGAGGTTTTTCTGAATACCCTGTAAACTAGATTTAAAATGTTATATACTGTTGAAGTCTAAGTTATTAATGTTTGTATTATTAGGAAGACAAAAACTTATAAAGTTTAATTTCAACAGAAATGGAACCAACAGCATTTTAATTAATCAAAGAAAATCATATTTCTTTTTGAAGGTTAGGTGAGATCATATTGCTTTATATATGCAACTGAACTATAAAAAAATAAGCTTTTGGCAGAAAAATCACAGAGTACTTTCAATAATATCGACACGAAAATTGCAAGCTGCCAAATGGCTGTCATTAAAACTTCTATACGTTACTTAAGACATAAGACAGGCTTTAAACTAATTTCCAAAACACTTAACCTGGGTCTTTCATGTAAAAATCTAAAAGTCGGTCACGTCAAAGAGAACTGATCAGACTTCTAGGCTGTTCTGTCTCTATTACTAAAGTAAATCCATTATGTGAGAGCCTCTCATCGGATGAAGGAGAAAGGGAGGAAACATAGAATTCTATTACCAATTTCTTTGTTGGGTTGGCTACTCTTTGAAACAACAGGAAGAAGTGGGGAAGAGTCCCCTCTACCAAGCTTCTAAGATTCACTTACGCTTTAGTTTTAAGAGTTCATATTTTTTAGGAATGTTTAAATACAAGAGGCAGATTATTTTGTTTGAGAAGCCTATTTTCTCAATCTGTATCAGATATGCCAAGATTCTTGAGGGGAGGAAATAACCAAGCATCTAAGATGAATACCACAGTTTGGCATAAGGATGCCAGTTTTAAAGCCTGAAGATGTCAGTTTTATGGCTCCTGTCTTTATCTACCATGGAGTCAGGATCTATAGCTCGAGTCCACATAAATGCCTTCTCCAGTCCTTTCTGACTTTGATCTTGACATTGACTGAACCCTTAAATTTCCAGAGCTTTTCCTCCATGTGAACTTGAGTTATGATGATATACTGTGAGTCAAATAAAGAGTAAGACCACAGTAATGCAAGCAATTACTCTCTGAAAGAAGTTAACTGGCTAATATGATATATATTATTATCTGATTGAAGTCATTATTCTAAATTCACTGTTTAACACAATCTCCTAGGTTTTAAGCGCACTTGTAAAATTTAGTGCCGAAAATTATCAATATGACTATTTTATAATAAATTTATAAAACACCAGCATGACAGAATTATTTCCCTTTTAAAATATATATACATTAAATTAGAAACGTTTCTTAAAACCTAGTCTATGAATTATTATTCAAAGTCATATAAATAAAAGATTTTATGTTAACTTTGTTTTTCTTCATAATGTTATTCTGTAGTTTAGCAAAGGACAAGATGGATGTCCTATCCTAAAAATCTAGGTACCAAATGTTGAAGTCCAGAAAGTGTTGGGTTAGATGGCCTTTACAGTTTACAAGGGTAGTTATGTAAAGAATCACTATCAGATACACAGATTACAGAACAAAGTGAACAAAGTGCTTTTAAATGACCTTAAAAATGTTCAGAACCAGTATAATAATTTTTGCATAACTTTGGAGTTCAGAGGTTTAGGAGAAAACATTAAAAGAAAAACTTCAAATGGAACTTTGATTCTTTGACAATAAAAGTACTAACTTTCTATTTGAGCTTCATAGACACAGACTGTCTCTCTGAATAAGGCCATATTTACGATACACTAGTGATCTGGATAATGTTGACCCGATTTGTTTTTATTTAAAAATAGAGAACATCCATATATGAGAACCACCAATACATGAATATCCGTGAATTAAGTCTAATTAAAAAAAAAATAGAAAAGAAGGAAAGGAAGGAAGTGTGGATGGGAATCAGTAAACATTCCTAAACGGTCTTCAAGAGGCAGCAGAAACAAAACAAAACAAAAAACAAACAGAAAACAAAAAACCCTAAAACATCCAGATAATGACATGTTAGTAATTTCGGAATAAATATTTCTCAGAGTCAAATATTAAAGACTATCACATAAAAACTCCGCATAGTAACAGACAAACATTGCCCATTATAATTAAAAGCCCACAAACATTCCCTCTGACATTCACACACATTTATACTGCAACTAGTTTCAGGAGAGCTGTTAGAAAGACAATATACACATTTTATGTAGGTTTTTTTTTTTTTTAAAGAAACACATTTATAAAAACAAATAAATGAAAATTCACAATTCTACCACCTGGAGATCTCTAAGTGGCCTAAGACTCAAAAAAATTGGGAGTAGGATTCAGATTCGAATAGAATCACACTGATTTCCTTCTCGTGTGACATACATTGTAACCCCCAGGCACCAAATGTGTAAGAAGCCTGCAGGACCCCAATTTAGAAATCCCTCCAAGGGCGAGGGAGGTGGCCGCCGCGGAGGCTCTGCCAGCGAAAACTCATCGCATTTAGGAATGATGCAACCTCTGGTTAAACTGTACACTTTCCGATGTCACAATCCATGCGGCATTCTATGACAAGGGGGTTTTCCTTCTGCCCAGACTCAACGGGGCAAGAACAAGCAGGCTTTTGAATCAGTGCTCCACCTGAAGTATCCGCTTGCTTGTGAGATTTATACTATACTCGACCGTAGTTTGGCTCTCTTAAACTGTAATTCCTACGCAATACGCGTCGACAAACTGACAGAAATAACAGGAGATGTGAAAAATGCGACAATACTAAAACCAGATGTTGGGGTAAGATTCCAGCATCATTTTACTTGTGCGTTCGTCTTTTATTGTACAATCTCTGTACTGAAAACAAAAGGCTTTTTTTTACTCTTAAAAATACCTAGAACCATGAAATGTTTAGGGAGATGGAGGAGGAAATTTATGGGATGGGGACTTGACAGGGGTGAGGGGGTGGGGTGTAGAAGAGAAGCTAAGAGAACAGGAGTGTGAAGGGAGGAAAAGAATGCAGCCAAATCCACACTATCTTTTTCTCAGTAACCCTACCTCATCCTTTTCCTGCACTTGTTTTGTTTTAGTCTTGTCTTGTAACAACTCCAAACAGGCGAGTTGCAGGTCAGAGATACTCTGATTTCTGAACAAGCAAGGAGCTAAGAAGAACAAGAACAACTCTTCTCAGGCCCAACTGCCTTTGTGCCCGGGAAAGTAGTAGATTTTCTTCCCCTGATTTTACCAAGAAGTGTCTTACCCGAACCTTCTAGCTTTGGAGGAATAAAAGCACTGCATTTGAGGTTACATTTATAAGAACACCCACGTTCAGAAGTCAAGAAGGGTAGCCTTGCTAGTTAGCTGCTCAAAGTGTGAGTCATGGGTTTATTACAATCAACCACAAACACCCCCTTTCTTCAAAAGATTCACTTAAATATTCTACTGCCAGTTTCTTATTTGTTTGGTTGCCATGAAATGATGATCCGAAAGCTATCACAGGCACCACGAGCTCTCGTCCTCCCACAAACACCTGCTTTAATAGTCAAAAATAAACAGCGAGATTTGGTTACTCTGCATTTTTATGAACAAACTTACATGATTTCCTGTTGGAAACTTTCAAGGGCTGAACTAGTATTTCTGGTCGTCTCAGAGCCAATCTCCTGGGGGAAAAAGAAGGTCAATGCCTATCAATTTTCAGTACAGATCCAAGATTAATATAACACCAAAATATTAAAAGTCCCAAGGGAGGGGGGAATGGGAAGCCAGGGGAAAAAATGAACACAATGCAATCTATTCAAATTAAAAAATAAATCCTCTCCTTTTCAAATTTTTATAAGTCATCCCCACTCCAAAATCACTCTTCTTTCCCCCCCATCTTTCACATCAATACAGTTTCAGATATTAATGTGCTATTTTTCCATTTGCTTCATAACAAAAACCGAATATGACCGGGTCCTGTCATATTATTTTTGGTCATTATTCATCCTTAGTTAGACAAAACAGAAATCCAAACCTGAGGGATAAAGGGTTCTAAAGCAAGGTTTTAGTGCTCCTTGTATCACAACTCTCCTCCACTGCTATTTTGCAGAGAACAAAAGGTCATTTGAAGAGAGACCACTATTCGCGTGCCAGCAGCTCACCTTTCCTGGAAATGCTTTGAGGGAATCAAGCCCGCCCTGGGATTGGCATCATCCGCGTGCTTTGCCTGCCACCACGTTGCATCATCTTGGCTCATAATCTGAAGAATATCTCCCTTTTTGAAAGAAAGCCCAGCTTCCTTACATGGAATTGCTTTATCCTCATTAGGGTCATAGTCAAAGAGGGCTTTGATAAACATCTGGAAGAGAGTTTCATTTAAAAGGAATAAATAGTAAATAAATAAATAAATAAATGGGAAAGGGCCAAGATTCTTCTTTGATTTAAGGATACTTTTTTTTTTTAAAGAAAAAAGAATAATTTTTATTTTATTTTTTAAAAAAGATTTTATTTATTTATTTTTGAGAGAGAGAGCATGAGAGCATCAAGGGGGAGAGGGGAAGGCAGAGGGAGAAGCAGGCTCCCTGCTGAGCAGAGAGCCCGTTGCGGGACACGATCCCACGACTCTGGGATCAACACCCGAGCCGAAGACAGATGCTTAACTGACTGAGCCACCCAGGTGTCCCCACAAAAAAGAATGATTTTTTTTCTCAAAAAGAGAATATGAAAATGAATTCACTGTGACAAAGAGGATGGGGAAACATTAGCACCCCCCACCGCCAAAAAAACAAAAACAAAAAAGGATTTTTAAGGAATGATTACCTTGCCTTCTTTAGATGGAGTCTCCTCTTTGATGCTGGGTATAATCTTAAAGGTAATTGCTCCCTGAGATTGAGCCTGGTAACAGAGGAAAGACTTATCAGAGAACTTCTAGAGCCCAGGAGAAGGAAGGCAAAATAGGTAGAAAAGGGAATGATGCTGAAAATTTATAAGCTTGAGGTTTCTACTCTTAGATAAACCAAACTGAGAAAACTATTTTTGTAGAAATTCCTGCAATATGAGAAAGCACTTGAGCTCAAGTAAGTTAAAAAACACGAAAACACTAAATGCACTTGACCTCCAGTGCACTTTCAAAATGTATCCCCATCCACACTGAGCTACTTTAAAACAGAAACACGGCATCTGCAGACTGCCTGACACAGACAATATTAAGGATGATGTGCAAAGTTCAGATGATACATTTTAGTATTGGCATCCATGTTTTTAGGAACAAAATACCTGTACTGTCAGCAATGCAGTTGTATGATTCACTATATAATACACACACACACACACACACACACACACTAGCTGCAATGCTCAGCAGAAAAAAATAATGAGCATTCACTGCTATTATACTCTGGTTAGTGAGTAAAATACCAAATGTAATAGGTTAATTAAAAGAGAAAAAAATTAATTTAATTAAAGCAAGCAGCAACAATACAGGCCATTCTTTTCCGACCGTCTCAGACCAGAGCAGATGTCCCTTTCATACCCTCTCATGTCTTTCTCGGTTTCTTTTTAGCATTTCTCCTAACCGTACGAAGTAATCATTTATATGATTATTTCTTAGTATCTGTTATCCCGGCTAAATTCTAAGCTCCACGAAAGCACTAAGTATCTGGCACATATTGGAGAGGAAGGAAGGAAAAAAGAAAAGAGGAAGATGAGATCAGGCAGAGGAGAGGAAGGAAAAAGGAAGGAGAGGGAGGGGAAGAGAGAGAGAGAGAGAAGGGAGACTGGGTAGCTATCTCTGAGGTGCACTATCATAAACTAGGGCTCTGTTCTGGAGGCAGCTGAGAGGAGGCCCTGATTTGTATTGTTTGTCAACGTCCATGGGCCACAGCCAACTTCCATTTACCAGTGGAAGTACCTGAAAGCCCAGCTGGGAAAAGCTGCATAGAAATCAGCTCTTGCAAATGTAAGGAAGCAGTACCAGGACAGAAAGACTCCAATAAAAAGGGGCTTTAACAGTGTAAGTATCAGAATTTTAGAGGAGGATTGATTTCAAACAGGTAATATCACTGTTATTACTTATCATAAAACAACTGACAAATCTTATTAAGAATTCATAGAATACTGAACTGCAATGGGGAAAGAAAGCAAGTCTTCTCTATAATCTCTTCCCATTCTACAATGTCCATTCTACAATGTGTGCGTGTGTGTGTATGTATTAATGTGTTCAAAGCCCTTAAAACAGTATCATTAAGTGCTCAACCACTGTAAGAATTACTAGGATTACAAGTCATATAGGTCTACCAGCCATTGTGATTGCCATCATGTGGATGAATGATTAGTCAATCAGTGCAACCCTCTTGCTATTTCTAAGTATTTTTTACAATCTTGCTCATATAATACGCTTGCCAAATTATTTCCCATGGGTTAATTCCCAACAACTGAACTTCTTGATTAAAGGGTATGCAAATTTAAAATTCTAATGGTAGACAGCCATCTCATAAGGATCTACTAAATTCATCCCACCACTGGAAACATATGAGTAGGGCTACATGCAGACTCTAGCCATTATCAGGCTTTCAAATCCCTCTAATCCAGTATTTTTCAGACATCATGTTTTCTTTTGTAAATCTTTCTATAAATATTTTTTCTCTGATTTTTGTGAACTTTTTACACATTAAAATACCTCCTATCATATATATGGACAATATTTTTCCTAAGTGTCATGTGTCTTTCAGGTAACATATGGCATCTTTTTCCATACAGAAAGTTTTCAATTCCTGCCATCACCTCAGTTATCTTTCTATTTGAATTTCACATCAAGTTTAAAAGTCTTCCTTTACTTTTTGACTTTTTTAAATATTTAATTCATTGGGATTTGTTTTGGGTATAGTGTAAAACAGGGACTGACTTTCTTTTTTATAACTGAATCATCAATGTATCCAGTACCATTTATGAAATGACTTCCCGGTTTTCCCATGGATTTAAAATGCCATCTTAATCACATACTAAATATTCATATATACGGCGGTCTGCTTGAAGATACTAAACTCTTTTTCTGTATGTTTGCGTTTTCATACATTAAAAGCGAAAAGTCTCCCTCATTTTATCCTTACAAATGAACTGGAGAATTAATACTGTCAAGGCCTAAAATAATTTTGTTCTGTTTTAGATTTCACAAGGCATCTAAATCAGTTTCACTGTTTTAGATACCTAGAAAGCATAGCCAAGAGTTTGCCCATGTCCATGGGAGAAGGGAAAAGAAAAATTCATCACGAATAACAGAGTAGATGGCATCTCTTAAGTGCCCATTTGAGACAGGCCCTGAAATAAACTCTTTATATACATTAGTCATTTAATCCTCAAAACACTGCCATGAGGTATTTACCTCTTCTTGCTCTCATTTTGTAAATGAAAACACTGGCACAATGCAAAGAGTAAGGTAATTTCCAAGGACATACAGGGATTAAGTAATAAAGCTGGGATTACAGCTCTGGACAGCTAAATCCAAATTCTGCATTTGTAACCAAGTCTGAAACATACTAATTCAATTTCATTTTTATTGCAAGTTTAAAATTTATTTTCAGCTTACCAAAATCTGAATTATTTCCTCAGGCCTTTTATCCTCGACTGGAATCCCATTCACTTCCCTAAGTTCATCACCAACATGTATAAGACCTGAGAAGTAGCAAATTGGGTAAATTAGCAGAGTTACCTACGAAAGAACCACAATTCTCAACTGTGTCCATACTCCGAGCATTGTTTGGTGCCCTGAATACATGAGGACACCTTTAGGCTTCTCTGGTTTCAGATTCTGTGCCTCTAAACAGCAATGAATCAAAGACTACCATGTTATAACACTGCCAAAGAAATGACACCAGCAGCCCGGCCTTTGTCTAGAAACGTGTATTATTTTCACCTAACAAAAGAATTTTTATCTTGTTTTAAAGGCTGCACACATGCAGTCGTCCTTTTCGAATCAGGAACACTTGAAACAGACCCTAATATCACTCTGGAAGCCCATGTAAACTGAGATTGTAAAGTCAAGTGAGATGTATCATGTATTTCAACAGGTTTCCACAGTTCAACACAGAGCAAAGTATCTTACTATTTTGAGGTATTACATCAAAAGATCGTTATCCTCTTAATTACATGTTGGAAATGTTGCCTATGAAATGCAACACGACTTGTCCATGTGGCTGGTGTTGAAACCCTTACCACTTCTCTCTCTCTCTCTTTTTTTTTAAATCCTTACCACTTCTATCCGCAGCACCTCCTCTCATGATTCTAGCCACAACGATGGCTCCAGTCTGCTCGTCTTTCTTAATGGTAGCTCCCTTTGAAGGAAAACAAAAAAAAAGTACCCGTGGGTAAAGGTGTGCACTGGGTAGTAGGAAAGGGAGCAGAAATAAGGACATTTATCCGGAAAAAGTGAAAACAATTACACAAAAATTAAAGGTACGAGGCAGGAGGAACAGACACCATGTCCCTCATCGTACAAACACTCCTGACTTGGGAAAAATTTTCTATCAGACACAACCTCTCCAGTTTTCAGCACCATTTAAGGATTTTTCAAGTCTTTAACCTCTTCAACACGATGAAAAATACAAATATCTTTTTTCCATTATAATGCCTTGTATTTGAATATGATTTGTTTTTGCCCCTTGACAGCATCTGCTCATCTCACTTTGTCTTTCTAATACCCCATGAAGAAGGTGGGCTCCACTGAGATTAAGTGAATACAAAAATCTCATATAAATTAGAAAACTGAAACCGAGGTCATCTGGCTTTTAGTTTCACAATCCTTTATTACACTACTATGTTAAAGGAACTCAGACATAATGACAAAAAAAGAGAAAAATTAAACTCCGAAATTAGTCATATTCCTTACCCACTGCTAAGATAAACTAATGGGGAAAAAGATCTGTTATTCCAAGGTCTTCACGTACTAGGACTGCACTTAGTACAAAGAGAACCAACATTCTGGCATAAGATTAGGAAACAATTTCAAAAAGGATCCAGAAATTCTTCACTTATGGATGTTCAGAAGCAAATTAACTGAATGTTGCTTTATAAGAACATCAGGCACAAATGGTTACTTTGAACACCTTTTTATGACTTTCCTTCTAAGAAACTGGCATCGGTGTAGGAATGCATTCTACAATGGCAACACACAGCTAAAAAGATGCACGTTAGATGGTGGCAGAATTCACCGGAAGAAGAAAGCCGCATTTTTCTCACATGTCAATACACACGTTATCATTAAAAAAGGTATGTAAACAAAATTAGGAATACATTTATAATAAATATATTTTCTATGACAGCTATCAGATACCTAATAATGGTTAAAAAAATCAAATAATTAAGTGATCAGATTATTTTGTGACACTTTTCTTCACCAATCATGTGGTCATGTCCAAAGATTTAAATGAGCATCTCTTCACAATTATAAACACCAGACCCATAAAGACCCATCATTAACTTACTGTTAATGGTAAGTTCTGCTTTTCTTTAAAGTTTACTTATAGCCAAGATCACCAGAAATGTAATATTTCTAATAAAACTAGTGTGATTACACAAACTTTCATTTGCCTTAACAATATCTCAAATCCTCCTATCAAGAGTATGCCTAATGGCAGAAGGGTCTGGTAACCTAATTTAAGATTAATTACCCATTTTTTCAGAGGGCTCTTTTTCCCCCCATACTTCTCTTTTTTTAATTGAGGTAAAATTGGTATGTAACATTATTATGACTTTCAGGTATACGCCATTACAATTTGACATATATATATGGACTACAGAGATCACGAATAGAAGTCCAGTTACCACCCATCACTATTTACTTGACCCCATTCACCCATTTTGTCCCCCAACCAACCTTCTGGTAGCTACCAATCAGTTGTCTGTATCTACGAGTTTATTTGTTCATTTGCTTTTTTCTAGATTTCACATATGAATAGAATTATATGGTATTTGTCATCCTCTAACTTCTTTCACTTAGGATAGCACCTTCAAGATCTCTCCATATTGTTACAAATGGCAAGATTTCATTCCTTTTTAATGGTGGGGTAATACTCTGCTGTATATACGTACACACCATATCTTCTTCACCTGTTTGTCTACTACTGGACATTTAGGTTCTTTCCAGGTCTTGGTTATTATATATAATGGTACAATGAATATAGGGGAGCATGTATCTTTTTTCTTTTTCTTTTTTTTTTTTTTTAGATTTTATTTCTTTATTGGGGGGGGGGGGGGGAGAGAGAGAGAGAGAGAGAGAGAGATCATGAGCAGGGGGGAGGGGTAGAGGGAAAAGCTGACCCCCTGCTGAGCAGGGAGCCCAATGAGGGACTCAATCCCAGGACCATGGGATCATATCCTGAGCTGAAGGCAGACACCTAACCAAATGAGCCACCCAGGCACCCAGGGCATACACCTTTTCAAGTCAGTATTTTTATATTCTTCAGATAAACAGCCAGAAGTGGAACAGATGGATCATATGTTAGTTCAATCTTAATTTTTTAACAATATGGAGAAGTCTCCCTACTGTTCTCCATAGTGGCTGCACTAATTTACATTCCCATGAACGGTATACAAGGGTTCCCTTTTCTCCACATCCTCACCAACACTTGTTATATCTTGTCTTTTTGATAATGCCCATTCTAACTAATGTGAGGTGACACATCAAATGCAGTTTTGATTTGCACTTCCCTAGTAATTACTGATATTAAGCATCTTTTCATGTGCCTATTGGCCATCTGGATGTCTTTTTGGAAAAGTGTCCATGCAGATCCTCTGCCCATTTTTTAATTGAGTTGTTTGGGTTTTGTTTTGTTATTTTATTTTTTGAGTTGTATAAGTTATTCATACATTTTGGACATTATCGCTTATCGGATATATAATTTGCAAAAATCTTCTATTCAGTAGATTATCTTTTCGTTTCAATGATTTGCTGCAGAAGTTTGATGTTGTCCAATTTGTTTATTTTTGTTTCCCTTGCTTTTGGAGCCAGATCTACAAAAATATTGCCAAGACACATGTTGAGGAGCTTACCACCTATGTTTTCTTCTAGGAATTTTACAGTTTCAGGTCTTTCATTCAGGTCTTTAATATAATACTATGAGTTCACTTTTGAGTATAGTGCAAAACAGTGGTCAAGTTTCATTCTTCCACATGTGGCTGTCCAGTTTTTCCCAACACCATTTATTGAAAAGACTTTTCTTCCTCCATTGTATGTCATTGGCTCTTTTGTTGCAAATTAATTGTCCATACTATGTGTGGGTTTAATTTTGGGCTCTCAGTTCAGTTCCATTGGTCAGTGTGTCTGTTTTCATGCCCATACCAAATTGTTTTGATTACTGTAGTTGTATGATTTCAAATCAAGGAGCATGAGGCCTCAAACTTTGTTCTTCTTTCTCAAGATAACTGTGGCCATTTGGGATCTTCTGTGGTTCTATACAAATTTTAGAATTGTTCTAGTTCCATGAAAAATGTCCATGGAATTTTGAGAGGGGACTGCACTGAATCTGTAGATTGCTTTAGGTAGTATGGACATTTTAACAACATTAATTCTTCCAATCCATGACCATGAACTATCTTTCCATTTATTTGTGTCTTCTTTTTCATCAATTTCATGGTTTTCCACTTTCACTTCCTTGGTTAAATTTATTCCTGAGTATTTTATTCGTTTTGGAGATTGTTTTCTTAATTGCTCTTTCTGATAATTCATTGTTTATGTATAGAAATGCCATCTTTCTGTTATGATAATTTTGTATCCCTGTACTTCACTAAACCCATTTATTAGTTCTAACAGTTTTGGTGCAGTCTTTGGATTTTCTACATATAATATTACGTCAACTGCAAATAGTTATAGTTTTAGTTCTTCCTCCCTTGGATGGTTTCCACTTCTTTTTCTTGCTTAATTGCTATGCCTAAGACTTCCAGTACTGTGTTACATAAAAGTGGCAATAGGGTGTAATCCTCTTCTTGTTTCTGATTTTAGAGGAAAAACTGCCAGCTTTTTACCATTGAGTATGATGTTAGCTGTGGGTCTGTCATATATGGCCTTTATTATCTCTCCTCACTTCGTTGAGTTTGGATTATATAAATGGATGTTGAATTTTCTCAAATGATTTTTCTGCATCTACTATAAGATCATATGATTTTTGTCCTTTATTTTGTCAATGTGGTATGTCATGTTGATTGATCTATGGATATTGAACCATTCTTGATTCCCTAGACTAAATCCCACCTGATCGTGGTTTATGATCGATTTAATGTATTACTGAACTCACTTTGCTAATATTTTGGTAAGAATTTTTTCATCAGTGTCATTAATGATATTGGCCTGTAACTTTGTGTATATGTGGTATTCTTGTCTAGTTTTGGTATCAGAGTAAAGCTTTAAAACTCATCAAGTGCTCCCTCCCCTTCAATTTTTTCTAAGAGTTTTAAAAGGATGTATATTAAATCTTTGAATGTTTGATAATCTGTGAAACCATCTGGTCCTAGACTTTTATTTGGGAAATTCCGATTATTAATACAATATCCTTGCTAGTAATTGGTCTATACAGATTTTCTATTTCTTTATCACTTGGTCTTAGAAAATTTTATGTTTCTAGGAATTTATATATTTCTTCTATGCTGTCCAGTTTGTTGGCATATAATTGTTCATAGTTTCATGATTCTTTGTATTTCTGTGGTGTCAATTGGAACTCCTCTTTCATTTCTGATTTTATTTGAATCCTCTCTCTTGATGAGTCTGGCCAAAGATTTTTCAATTTGCTTTATCTTTTCAAAGAACCAGCTCTTAGTTTCATTGACCTTTTCTATCATTTTGTCTCTTTCCTTTATTCCTGCTCTGATCTTTAGTATTTCTTTCCTTCTAACAACTATGGGCTTCCTTTTTGTGTAAAATTAGATTATTTAAGATTTACTTGAGGTAGGCCTGTACTGCTATGAATTTCCCATTTAGAATCACTTTCACGGATATAAAAAATTTGGATTTGTGGTGTTCCTATTTTCATTTCTATCCCTAGGTACTTTTTCATTTCTTGTTTGATTTCTTCAATGATCCACTGATTGTTGAACAGCATGTTGTCTGATCTCTATATTGGGAATTTTCCCAATTTTCTTCTTACAATTGATTTCTAGTTTTATACCATTGTGGGTAAAGATGTTTGATATTTCATCTTCTTGAATTTGAGACCAGTTTTGTGGCCTAACATGATCTACCCTGGAGAATGTTCCACATGCAGTTCAGAAGAATGTGTATTCTGTTCTTTTTCGATGGGATGTTCTGTACGTATCTATTAAGTCCATCTGGTCTAATGTATTG